TATGTAAAAACATTTATTTCAGGATGTTTCTACCAGAAGTGTTCTACAATCCATTAATCATTGTGTGCACTATAGTTTTACACACACTGCAAAAACACCATCTCAACTGCAGATCATGGTGGATGGAACATCTTCTGAGGCTGACCTAACAATAACTGAGGGAACGATATAATCCATACAGAAAATACAGGAGTATTCAGGCGCTAGTCCATGGCTTGACCACCGCCTTCACTCATGCATTGGAAGACGAAGAAGACCATCTACTTACTGCCACTGAGCAACCTGTCATCCGGAACCAGCCACCATGTACAGGGACGTACATGAGATCGAGGGGGGAACCTGTAACCCATATCAACTACGCACTGTCACAAGACCCACGTCAGCTGATTTGATCCCCTTCTCCTGATTTGCTCCTTCCAAGTCGCGGCAAGTATGAAAACCGGCTGTGGAGGGATACATGCGGGATCGACTCCTGCTGTGGCTGTAAGCTTCTGGCGTTTAGAACGGCGTTGGAAAGCAAAGCGTTTTCTCCCCTAAATTCGTCTATAAAATTGTATCACCTCAGCGGTAAGTGTCCTTAACATCTACCAATAACAACCTTTTTAGCTGTCAGTAACCAGTCGATCGGTTTTGCGATTAAAAAATGACTTTGTTCGGCGGCGTTCCCACCACGGGAAGAACTCCGATTCGAAAGCTTCTATTTTTGAACACTTTTATTTACTTAAGCACTTAAGTGGGCTTACTTTGAAACAAAGTGCAATTGAATGATTATCGTTGTGTGTTGCCTTGAATTTGGCTATGCTGTCTGTTAGACAGGTGTTTTTCTTTATTGTTGTTTTTGTATTTGTTTGTTTGTTTGAACGCTACTGGAATGTGTGGATTAAACGTAGCCCAGATAATTAATAATTTAACTGTTGAACATTTGTGACTGATGATGATAATTCATGATTTGCATTGTTGCATAGAACTGCAGAAAAATGTATTTGATTACCGGTAAATTGAATTGAACTTGATGTGCTAATGGACATTTTTCTGGCCTACAGGTCAGGTTTTTTTCCCCCTTTGAACTGATCTTCATATTGAAGTGGCGAGCCGGTAGGACCATTCTTTGTTTTCCCCTCTTTTCCCCCACTTTGCCGTCTTTGG